CCCCCCCCCCCAATGAAAAATATTTTTCTACGCCACTGGTGTGTGGGTGTGTGTGTGTGTGTGTTTGCTGGGGAGTCCAAGCAAACACCCCATCCCCTCGCCGCTCCGACGATCTGAGCATTTTAAAGCTGTTTTAAAACGATTTCAGGGAGTGTTTGTTGATAATACCGGTACAAAAGCAAAATATTATTAATAAAGCCAATTTTTCAATGTAGGCCTATGTTTAATTTAGCACCCGAACTATTTAGACCTACACAAACATTTTCATTACTGATCAATATTTAGTACGGTAACTCCTTAGTGAAATAAGTAGGGCCTTCAAGGAAATACTGTACTCTCTCATGACTCCAGTTACTGCATCACCGTTTTTATAGTTAATACAACCAATTTCTTCTAATTTTAAATACACTTTCCCCTGAATTTGTGATAAATCGTTATCACGCATAGACTTGTGTTAAATGCGTGAGAAATTTAGGATCACGCATGTGTTTCTGCAAAATACGTGTTTCATCCAAAATCACTTTGAAATGCGGGACCGTCCCGGACGATGCAATACAGTTGGTAACTATGCAGTTGGCTGGGTCAGAGATTGCAGTATTTTTTTTTTCAAATAAACGACCAATTTTTGACATATAGTCATTTTCCTAATGATTTCAACTTATGGTAGCCAGGGATTATGTTTATTTGCATTTTTATAACTGAGATGAGTGAATTATTGTGGTATTATGTCTTAACAAATATTAGCTTATGATGTCCCATGGGTTGGAGTTGCAGAGAGCCTTCCTCAGGTTGTAAGTTGTCTTTATGTTTTGGTGAGATCAGTCTAATTAAAATGAGATGAAATCAATAAAAACAATCATAATAAAAGTAATATTAATTATTATTATCATAATAAATAATAGTTTTAATATCAATTCACATTAGTTTACATTTTCCAAATAATCTTTATACAGATAAAGTGTTAAATTGGTAGAGGAGTTCTAGAAGATTACCGTACTGATAAGCACTTCATTATAAAATATATTGTTTCAGGTAGAAATAAACATGATACTAGTGGCAAACAAATCCTTAAACACATTGAATTTAAGTAATATGTACAATTTATGGATTGGAAGATGACTAGTCTCTAATTTTGCTTGTTTCAGAGTGCAATGTTTAGATTTGTTTAGACTGTGCCGACTCTTGCTGTGTCTGTTGTTAATGCTCTAATTCTGGAGTTCAATGATAGCCGGTAAGGTATTAGTTCCATTGAACCATCCATGTGGGCTTGAGTTAGAAAAGTTCTGAGGGCCTTCAATAGCTAACCTGAAAGAAAAATAAACCAATGTTGTTAAGGACGTTTTAAATGAGAATATCGGGACAATGTGAACACAAGCTGAAGTAAAACGAATTGTTGAATTGACAATGTGAACACATACAGAAAATTAAGTACAGATCAAATGTCATTATCATCACCTAGGCCTATTCATCATCATATTACCATCATCATCTTAACCATAATCATCTGCACCACCATCATCACCATTATCAGGCCTAAAAAAATGTTTGCTGTCACATTGTAAAAATTTGAATACAGCAGGGGCGGGTGGAAGAAAGTTTCTTTTTTTCGTAAAATCCTAGAAACATGTGCGATTGTCATTTTTTTCATCATATCATTTTTTTTTTGAAAAAAATTTAAAATAGTAAAAATGTCCATATCACGGATCTGTGCCAAAATCGACGAAAAAAGTGGTTTTCATTTGATCTTTTAAACTTAAAAAAGAAAGGTTTTTGGGAAAAAAAACAAAAAAACCCGCCCCTTTTCAGGATTTTAGGGGCGGCGGATGACGGCAAACAAACAAGTTTTCTTTTAGGCCTCATTATTATCATCGCCATTATCATGAACATCATCCTAACCATCCTCATTCCCATCATCATTGAGCCGAAAACGATGAAGTGAAGTGAAGGGGATGTGGTAGGGGGTGGGGGCTGCAAGCTTTTTGTGGGGAGTGCTCCCCCACGCCCCACGCCCTTGGATACGCCACTGACCACTACGAGTGAATACCATGTTTGTAGGCCTAAGTGTGTTTCTGTTCTTTAGTATTCAAGTTTTCGCTCTTCGTACGCTGGTCACTTAAATGCACGATAGAGCTACTTGCTCGGCCCCAGCCAACTGAACGGAGGGAGGAAGCAGTGCGACCCCTAAGCCATGATGATGCACTGAACCTAGCATAACCATCCCGAGTGCCTGTCAGTTGAATGAGACTCCCTGTGCATCTCCCCTGCAGTCTGTTAATCGCCTAGTCCTGTCAAGTATCACCGCCAAGCGATCATCAGATGATGCCGCAAGGCTAAGTACTCAACCTCGCCAAGGCTCGGGCCTTCGCCAAGACCCGGGCCCAGACTCAGCGTAGGGTTACCGGCGTATTACCGACAAGAAGCCTCGTCGACCCCGGAACCCGTCAGGGAGAGAGTCAGGTGATTTAACTTTGGATGTGATTAGAATATATATGGTTCAATTGTACGTATAGTATTGGTGTTATTACCTGCAAAAGCAATCAACGAGGATACATTCCTATTTTGTATTATTGTACAGCGAAATTGCTTCTTTTTTTTTTTGCCTTATTTAAAAAAATAATTTTTAGTGATTTTAATGAACATTTAGTATTATCTTAAAGTACTTTATATTTCATATAAAAATAAAGGCTACTAAAATCGTGTTAAAATATATTAAATATGCAAATGATGAATATGAAATAATTGTAAATGTCTAGAGGCGTTTCTATCTAAACTTCAAACCTAATGAAAATCGAGACTTTGAATAATAAAAAATAAAAACAGTTTTTTTTAAAGCAGCTGTAGGTGCCGCCAGAACGCAAAACTTTTAGGTTTTTTTTGCAGAAAATTGGCCAAATTTCCACTTTTAAAAGTTTTAATTTCAGAATCAACAGAAAACTGTATGTTTTGTTCATAGTTACAAACCTAAAGATCTGTCTCTTATACGCATCT